TGCTGGTTGCCGTTCTCTGCTCAGGATCTAACATGTCCCTGGAGTTGGAATTGAATTTTCCTTTTGCAATCTGCTGCACAGGGTCTGTCTGCAGCATCCAGAGAAATGCCAGCCCCTTGGCACTGCCTGACCTCTGCCCACACCACAGGCAGTGCCCACCCCCCGGGCACAACCAGCTCCTCTTCCCCTTCCAGCTCCCTGTGGAAAGGGAGTCTCTCCATGGCAGGGAGAGGGGTTTTGGCTGCACCTCTGACTCCGTGTGCCCATGGCTGGCTGCGGGTGAAGGGGCAGTGCCAGGGGGTTCTTTCAGGGGTGGGAGCAGCTCCAGGGGGGAGAAAAGCCCCACGGGCAGGGCCAGAGGGGCTTTACAGGGCAGTGCCCCACACGACACCCAGCATGTTAGAAATGCACCCAGGGAGCAGGATTCAATTCAGAGTGGAAAATCCCTTTTCAAGGTGCTCAGACCCCTGGAAGTGGCCACCCCGTGTCCCCCTGGGCCAGCAAGGTGGTGACACAGCAGGGAGTGCTCCTGCATCCCAAAAAAGATGCTACACCAGGGATGGGGGTAGTAAAGAGCAGCACAGCCACACACACGAGTTGGCATTGCTTAAATCACTCCCGAGGGACTGTGCCCCCCTAAAAGCTCCCTTTGCTGCTCTCCTTGAGCCCCAGTGCAGAGTCTGGCCTGGCTGCCACACTGCTCTGCTGGCAGCAATGCCCAAGCTCACCTGGGCACAGGTGAGTCAGGGCATCGGAGCCTGGGCACCGACGGGTGCCGAGAAAACCAGGGGTGCAGCACAAAGCCAGCTGAGGGCTGGGGAGTTTGGGGGCTGTGTCCACAGAAATTGGGGTGCTGGGAATCCAACCACGGCTCAGGTGCCACTTGCAGGACCCTCTGCCCTCAGGGCTTGGCCTGGGCCACACAGCCCAGCGAGAGTGGGGTTGTTAGAGGGAAACGGTGCTGGGAATAACAAAAACGAGGTGACAAGGAGAAATGCTGCAGCTCTGGGGGCAAAGGGCTGCAATTCCTGCTCCAGAGACACTGCTGTGCAGCTCAGTGTTGCTCAACACCACTAAAACCCCTCTCTGGCCCTCCCTGGGAGTTGCAGACCCAAAACAGAGGTGAGATTGGGGGGGGTGTGCATTTGTCACCCCTTTGCAGCCCCTGCTGTCTGGCTGGGCTGGAGCTGCTGGAGCAGCCACTGGCAGCACCACACAGACCTGGCTGGGCTCTCCCAGGCTGACTGGGCTTCTCAGGCAGGTCCTGGGGAAATGAGGCTCCAACTGTTTGTGCACTTGACCCTGGCAAAGAAAATTCCCTTTCCTGCCCCTCCTCCCAAGCTGGCTGTAGGTCTGCTCCTTGTCTTTCTTTTTCCTTTAGCAGACAGTTCCCAGTGCTTATAATTATATAAACCTCCCCCAAGCAGTCATTAAATCAGCACCTTCTCATATATAATATATACATATATAATATATATATATAATTTATAGAGAAACGACTTCTGTAAACAATATTCTTCTACTCCAGAAGGAAGTGTAGTCCGTGGCATAATGCAGCTACAAACACGGATCTCGGAGAGAACCTGCAGCTCCGGGGAGGGGGCGGGAGCCCCGTGCCACCCCCAGCCCCCACAGGATGGCTCTTGGGCGGGGAGGGAACCGGCCGGCTCGGTTTGGGTGGCACCAGTTTCAGCTGAAGCAAACTGGTCCGACTGTGAAACCAAACTGGTGCGAGGCGTCGCCGTTGTGAAACACCGCCAGGTCCCGCAGGGGCAGCAGCGACAGCTCCTCCGTGCTGAACTGGAAGATGGTGTCGGTGATGGAGGACTCGTTGTCCAGCTGAAAGGAGCACAGAGGAGCACCTGAGCGGCACAAAAATCCGCAAGGATCCCCTCAGAGCGCCTGCTGTCCCCTTGCTGGCTCCCGGTGGATGCAAAGTCTCCATCCAGGAGACTTTTCCAGGGAGTGACCTTCCCCGTGTCCGCCTCACCCCCTGCCACCTCGCAGCCCGCTCCCAAAAGCCACGGCAGCTCCTTGGCCGCAGGGATGCTCTCCATGCCCATCCCACCGGCTCCATCCCAAACTTCGGGGGTGCAAACACACGCCGAGGGGCTCTGCGAATGTCGGGGGGCTCTTGCGGCCACAGCCAAGGTGTGCCAGGGCCGTGCTTACCAGGCAGCCCTGCAGGCTGGCCGCATAGCTCTGCTCCCGGGAGTCGGCCAGGAAGCGGATTTCCTTGGCGGGCTGGGGGTGGCCCCGCTCGGGGGCCGGTCTGCAGGAGTAGGACACCTTCTGGGTGGCCAGGCTGCTGTGCAGCCGCAGGAAACGGAGCTGCACCGGGCTGGCCCCCCTGTATTCCAGCTGCAGGGACAACGGGAGAGAAAACCGGGAAGTGGGGGAAGCTTGGAGCGGGCTGTGCTCCTCCCTGTCCCAAACCGGGCAGGATTCAGCTGCCGAGGCACTGCTTTGGAGGTCCTTGCAGGAGGAGGTGTCACATCCCGCCGTGCACAGCCAGGGTGACCTGGGTGCTGCCCAGCACAGCGGGATGGGCATCAGGAGGCCCCTGACCCCATGAGAGGGGCTCCGTGTCCCCCGGGCTGTTCCAGCTGGGCACTCACCAGGAAGCCCCCGGGCAGGGTGCTGAACCACTCAAAGGTGTCCTCGGAGGTGTAGGTGCTCAGCCAAGCCTTGATGGGGACCTGTGGGAAGCAGGGACCGTGCCATGCTGTCCCAGCAGGTGCCAGTGGCACTGCCAGGACAAGGAGCCAGCACACAACCCTGTCCCTGCAGCCTGGGCACACGCCGTGACCACGATCCTCCCTCCAAACTTTTCCACCGTGGCAGGGGTCACCATGGCAAGGGACTGGGCACACAGTCTCTCTCCAGCCCCACCAACCCTCACCCTCACCCACCCCAAGGGGTCACAGGGGGCTGAAGCTGCCCCCCCAAGGCCCCCCCATACCTGGTTGTGGATGGGGGCTATGCAGGTCTCCCCCCCCGCTGTGAAGTTGCAGAAGGCCACCAGTGCGTCCTGGGGGCTGCCCTGGTTGGGGTCAATGTAGTACTGCCCTGCAGGGAGGCAGAGGGGAGCTCCTGGCGCCCGGGTTTTGGCACAGGGAGGGTGCCACACAATGCCACCCACCCCAGCTGGTGGCACATCCCTGGCTGCCACCTCCATCCAGCCTGGCCACCAGCCCCTTTCTCCAGGGATGCCCAGGAAACCCAGCTGGCCTCATCCCCCAAATCCTTGTTCCCTCTTAATTGCAAAGAGCTGCCTGTCCCTGCACAGGCTCTGGAGAGCTGGACAGACCCAGAGCCAATGGTGGGCACCCCACATGCCCCCTGGTACCATCGGGCAGGCTGGGGTGTGCCAGCAGCAGCTCCTTGCAGGTGGTTGCTGGGTTGGTTTTGGTGCCATTGGGATGCTCAACGAGGGCTTGGAGCTCCTGGTTCAGGGTGTCCAGCAGAGCCCACACTGCAGTGTAGTTCAGGTGGTTGGAGGAATAAATGAGGTGCTAAGAGAAAAAGGGGGGGATATATCCAAGGTGATCTTAGTCCCCCTCTCTTATTTTGGCCAGGAGCACCCTCAGGGGCTGAGGGAAGGGATGGGACGTGCAGGGGACAAGGACAGGCGTGGGGGGAGAGGGATTAACAACATCTGCTTGGTCCTTGTGCACAGGGGACCTCAGAAGCAGCAGGACATGGGACAGCATCCCTGTCAGCCCCTTCCCTCCCTGGCTGGCACCAACCCAAAGGGGATGGGAAGTCCCTCACCTGCAGCTCCTCCTGGGACAGCACCAGTGAGGGCCCGCTGGGACCAGGGGGGCCGGCCAGACCCTGGGGGACAGTGACAGTGCTGTGACATTGGCTGCTCCTCTGACACTCTGGCACTGCCAGCAGGACGGCATGGCATGGCAGGACCTCGCTGCCAAATTTGGGGGAGCGAGGGCCCCAAATTTTGGTGACAGTGGCTCCACTTACCGGCATTCCCGGTGTGCCCCTGGGGCCTGGCAGGCCCGGGAAGCCCCTCAGCCCCTGCCAAAGGACGAGGTGGAAGAGGGAAGGAAAGCAAGGGGTGGAGATGCTGCTGTGCTGAGCTGCACCCCGGGGTCCCCGGGGGCACCCTGCACCCAGGGAGCAGGAAGGAGGGAAAGGTTCCCTGTGCCAGGGCTGATCCCGGCTCCAGCCACTCCCCACTACTTACTTTGGGTCCAGATAAGCCCTGGAAGGAAAGGACAAGGCCCAGCTAAGTGGGAGGGAGGTGGGATCAAAGGCCCATCCCAGTGTAAACCCTGTGGGGCCAGGAGTGAACCCAAAACTGCCGGGAGGGTGAAGGACTCACTGGTGTCCCGGGAATTCCAGGGTGTCCCGGTGGGCCAGGGGGGCCAGTGTCACCCTGCAAAGACACCAGAGGTGGTCAGGGCACTGCAAGGGGCATCCTTCTAAAACCCAATCCCTTCCCCACAGATTTTGCATGGAAAAACAAGGAATTCACCCCAAACACTCATGTTAATCCCTGACATCCCTCTCCATCCTTCTCTCACCTGTTTTCCCTTGGGTCCCGGCCTCCCAGGGATGCCATGGGGTCCTGGCTTGCCCTAGGAGACGTGGCAGGATGTCACACAGGGTGACAAGAGACCAAAGGGAGGAAGGAAAAGAGGAAAAAACATCCCCCACCTTGAAGCCATCATCCCCTTGCTGGCCCAGGTCACCCATGCTGCCCTTCTCGCCCTAAAAGAGAGTCAGGGAGAGCTCTGGGGACAAAGAGAAGGGCAGAACCCCCCCAGGACAGCAGCCTGGGTGGGGGGCTCTGTCCTGCAAGGTGGGTTTTGGGCCCCCTGCTCTGGTTACCCATCAGTGGTGAGCAGTGGAGGGTTTGCTGCCTGAACTTTGGCAGGAGGTACCAGCCTGGGGGTATTTCCCAAAGCCAAACACCTCCTGGCCTCCAGCAAGTGGCTGGAAATGGGAAGTTCCCAGTTATGGGAATGCAAAACTTCCCAATGCTGGCTGCAAAATTTCTGCCAAAAGAACCCCCCAGACAACCCCCCAAGCCCCCATCCTTTGGGTTCAGGATTGGCTGCACCCACATTGCTGGGGAGGCAGGCAGGGGGATGGATGATGCTCAGCTGCCAAAATGAAAGCACGTTATCCCAGACTAAAATACCTTACAGGAAAACCTCAGAATTTCCCAGGAAACACCTTCAGGAGATAAAGAAATGTGCTGAAATGTGGTGGAGCAGGGGACAAACCCCAGCCCAGGCTGCCACAGCCTCCCCTCTGCCTGTGCCTCAGGCACTGCCCTTCAGCTCCTGCTGCTGCCACTGAGCTCCCAGGGAATTCCAGCTCTGTTGATTCCCAGGGTTTCATTTTCCTGAGGGATGTGAGCAGCTCCCCAGCACCAGGGACTGCTTGTCACTCTTAGTTATGGCTGTGGGGCTGAGGGATGGGATGGTGAGGACGTGCTTGGCTTCCCGAGCCAGGGGTGGATCCATCAGTTCCTCGGGAATGGCACAGAGGAGGTTTGTGCTGCATCAGCATCACTGCTGAGAGCAGGGGATTAAAAGACTGATTTAAAAGGCTGTTGCTGCCTTTGCAACTCCAGAAGGATGGAGAGGCTGGAAAAAGGCCTGGTTTGGGAGCAAATCTAAAGGTTCCATCTCCCATCACCCGGGGACATGACGGTCAACCCCCAGAGAAGGATGTTGGAGCCATCAGGATTCCACAAGAGGGGAATAAATAAATGATGCCATCCAGCAAATGAAACACTACCCAGGGTTCCCACTGTGCCCAGAACATGTCACCCACCTTGTGGCCTTTGGGTCCAGGGTCTCCTTTCATGCCCTTCAGCCCTGGGATGCCCTGAGAGAGAGACGTGGGATGAGATGTGGGACCACATCACCCTGCGGCTGAGCTGCTCCCTGGCAAGCAGGGACCTCACCACAACCCAGGCTGCTGCCAGCATCTTAAGAATTTCAGGCATTTTTAGGAAACTTGAGGCATTTTTTCTCATTTTTTAGAAACTTTGAGGCATTTTTCTCGTCGTGTTTTGATTTTTTGCTTGCGAGAGGATCCCCCAGCAAACCCCGTTAAAAATGCAGTTCAGGTGCCTTGGCTTGCTGGGAACATCCCGGATTTCTTCGGAGAAGTTGCCAAAGTTGGGATTTTTTATTTTTAAATGGAGAAAAAAAGGATTTCTAGGAATTAAAAGAAATATCTGAGGGTTTTTTTGTTGTTGTTGTTGGCCAGTGCTGGTCACAGCTGGTCCCTCCAGCCATGGGAAGGTGGGCACAAGTGCTCAGCACTGCTTGGCATCAGAAACTGCCCTGCAAGGGAAAGATTTGGCCTCCAGAGCCACATATTGGAACTGATGGGATTTGCCTGACTGCACACACCCTGCTGGGAGGTTAATCTGGGAGGAGAAGACGAGGAGATGGATGAACCACCTAAAACCTCCCCCTGTTTTAAATGGGTCTGTAATGTGGGTGTTCAAGGAGCTGGGTCACACAGTGGTGCCCAGGGGGGTCAAAGAGGGAGCAGCAGCACCCCAAACCCCCCATGCTGATACTCACATAGGGGCCCTGGGGGCCCTGGGGTCCTGGAAGCCCTTTGGCACCTGGGGAGCCCTGAAATGCAAAAGTGAAAGGCCCTGGCTGGTGTGCCCAGAGGTGTGGGGTGATGCTCCAGTGCCCCACGAGGGCTGGGGGTGTGGGAGACCCCCTCTCAGGGCTGGGAGGGACGGGGGACACAGAGCCCTCCAGCTGCTTTGGTTTGTCCTCTTCTAATCCAGGGGCTCGGGTGGGAGCACCCCTGGCTTGGCAGCACCCCCAAAGTGCCAGGTTGCCAGGGCAGCTCTCACCCTGGGGGGGCAAAGCCAACCTACCTTGTGCCCCCGGGGACCCCGTGGGGGCTGGTGGCCCATCTTGCCTCGCTTGCCCTGGGAACAACAGATCAAAGACTCGGGAATGATTCCAAAATAATCCGGCCACCCCTGGGCCCCTGGGATCTGAACCCCCAGCAAACCAGGGCCCCTCTGGAAAACCTCCCCAAAAAGCTCCCTGCCTCCTGCCACCCTCCCTGGGGACAGCAGTGCCACTCACCCGCCTGCCAGCTTCTCCAGGGACCCCTTCCTGCCCTTCCTGCCCCATGTTGCCCTGGGGGAAGAAGAGATGGGAGATGGGAGTCTCCAACAGCTCGGCCACTTCCCAGCCCAGCAGTGGGGAAGAGGAGCTGTGCCTGCATGGAAGTGGGGACAGAGCTCACCAGGCACTGGGGGAAGGACACCCAAGTCCCCTGTGCCCCCCCAGGGGCACCTGAGCCAGGGGGGAGGCAGCTCCAGGGGCTGAGCTGGGGAGATCTGCCAGCCCCTCACCCAAAAACCGGCCAAGGCAGCCCCAGGGCATCCTGTGTTTGCCAGGCAGGGAGAAACAGGTCCCTGCAGGTTCCCTCTGGGTTCTCTCCATGATCCACAACGGGACTGACCAGCTCAGGCTCAGCCACTCCCTGCCAGCCCCCCAGGAGGATTTTGGGGGTACCTTTTCTCCTTTGCGGCCTTTCCATCCTTTAGGACCAGCTTGTCCCGGAGAGCCCTAAAATCCCGAAGGAGAAGGAAAGCCCTCTGTGAGGACGCTGTGCCAGGGGTGCCCCTCAGCCTCCCTGCCCACCAGCCAGCCCAGGAGGATGCTCCAAGCTGGAACCTTCCATCTGGCATTTTTGCAGGAGGAAGGTGGGCAGAATGGGGCTGTGGGGGGAGAGGCCACCCATGTGGGACCTCAGCACAGCCAGGAGATCCCAGCATCCCACTGTGCCAGGGAGAACCAGCACGGCTCCATCCCACTCCTCACCATTTGTCCTGGTTTCCCTGGCTTGCCTGGCTCCCCTTTTGCACCCACCAGGCCCTAAGAAAGAAAATAAAATCGAACTCAAATCCAAAGAATAAGTTTTAAGATTATTCATGCGAACCCAGGGCAGGTTTGGGCACAGCTAGAGGGGTGAGAAAAGCTGGAGCAGGGAATGGGGCAGCAGAGGAGCCCACTCACCTCAGTGCCGCTCAGCCCCGTGGCTCCAGCTTCGCCCGGGGGCCCAAGAGAACCCTGAGACCATGTGGGGACAAAACACAAGGCTGGCACCAGGGGAGGGCAGGGGGGACAGGGCACAGCACCTGCCTCGCCCTGGGAGCTGGGCTGGGGTTGTTCTCCCCTCTCTAGTGCTGGAGCTGTGCCAGGGAATGTCCCCCCGTGGGAATGTCCCCGTGGCACAGGGAGGAGTTACCTGCCGGCCTGGCTTTCCCTTGGTGCCCGTCACTCCTCTGGCTCCTTCGTGTCCGGTGTATCCCCGGAGCCCGGGGGCACCTGCCAGCCCCTGAGCCCCTGCTGAGCCCTGGGGGGGGCACAGAAATGGGGGCACTGCTCACCCAAACCCTCCCGAGCAGGGTCTGAGCAGCCGCCTCTCGAGGAGCTTCAGCTACACCCGGCTTTGCAAACCCCCCGGGAGCTCATCCCACATCCCAGCCTCTCCCACCCCCCTGAGTTCAGGGAGTTCACTTCATTAATGTGTGGTTTAGGGCATGGAGGGACAGGACAAGGGGGAATGGCTTCCCACTGCCAGAGGGCAGAGTTAGATGGGATATTGGGAAGAAATTCTTGGCTGTGAGGGTGGGGAGGCCCTGGCACAGATTGTCCAGAGAAGCTGTGGCTGCCCCATCCCTGGAAGTGTCCAAGGCCAGGTTGGGGCTTGGATCAACCTGGGCTAGTGGAAGGTGTCCCTGCCCATGGCAGGGGGTGGGATGAGATGATCTTTAAGGTCCCTTCCAACCCAAACCAGTCTGGGATTCTGGGATTCCACGATAAGGGCGCGTCTTGCCTGGGCAGAGAAGCACTGCAAGATGGGGATAACTGGGATGCAAATGGGATTTATCCTTCAGCTGAGCTCAGGGCATTGATAACACACCTGTAGCTCTGTGTGTGTCACCACCATGACCAGAACACCCATCCTGGGGCAGCACAAGTGTTCCTGGGCACTGGGAGGCTTCTGGAGCCCCCCAACCTTATGGACACCGGGAGATCTGCTCCAGGAAAGGGGAAAACAAGAGCCCTGGACCTGCCCCAGGCAGACTGACAGGCAAGTGTCAGTCTGCACAATGGCCACAGCACTTTGGCACGGTTTTAATTGTGATGTTAAAATTCCTTAAGGGAGATTTGGCTCCAGGGAACCCAAGGAAACATTGGCTCAGTTACAAAACCACTGCAGGGCTGGAGTCAGAAACCATGGCTGGCACTTGGGCTGGCAGAGACACGGCCCCAGCCCCAGGCTCTGCTGCTCCATCCCAAAATGCCACCAAACCTCTGTCCCAGGGAAGTTTGTCTGGTTCTCACCACTGGACCGGGTTTGCCACCATCTCCCTTCACTCCATCATCTCCAGCGAGTCCCTGTGGGAGTGTTGGGGGTTTAGGACAAGCCCATCACCACCATGTCCTTCATCTCTGAGGGCACTTGGAGCATCCTCCCCCCTCACACCACACTCAGGTGGCCAAGGAAGCAGCAGGCACACGTGGGAGGGAACAGATTCCATAGCAGGAATGGGATTTCCATGAGGCACCCCTGGGTAAAAGACTGAAAGGGTCTTGTGTCTCCACCCCAAACATCAAAGCACCTGCCAAGGCTTAAAAACCCCTCCTGGCCCAGGCAGGGAAGGGGCAATAAATCCTTTGGCTTTGGTTTCTATTGGAAATGGTGGAGCACTGGGAAAGCCTCTGGCAGCTCCCCAGCTCTACAACATCCCAAACATCAATACCTCTAATCCTGCAGCACCAGCAGGTCCATCCGTGCCTCGTGGTCCTGGATCTCCCTGGGGAAGAAAGGGAAACAGCTCTATCCTTGGAAAACTCCTTCCTTGCCTTGCTGACTTTGGATCTCAGTCAAGGCAGGAGTGTCCCATGGCAGGTCCCCCCAGCCCAGTCACCAGCCTGCCCAGGCCTGACCCAGCTTCTCCAGCCAGTCCCACCACACCCAGCGCCAGCAGAGCTTGGGAAAAGGCCAGGAAAGGGCATTTCACCCCGAGATGGAGGGTTGGAACCACCAATCCCACTGTACCTTCTCTCCCTCGGGACCGTCGAGCCCAGGAGGACCTCGGAGTCCTGTCCCACCCTGTTCAGGGCACAAAGGAGCACCATTGATTGAGCCCTGCCCAGTGCTCCCAGTCACACACATCCCCCTCCAGGCCCATGATGGAGGTGGGGGTATTCCCAGTGCTCCCAGTCACACACAGGTCCCTGATGGATTTGGAGCCATCCCAGTGCTCCCAGTCACACACATCCCCCTCCAGGTCCATGATGGAAGTGGGGGTATTCCCAGTGCTCCCAGTCACACACATCCCCCTCCAGGTCCATGATGGAGGTGGGGGTATTCCCAGTGCTCCCAGTCACACACAGGTCCCTGATGGATTTGGAGCCATCCCAGTGCTCCCAGTCACACACAGGTCCCTGATGAACTCGGAGCCCTTCCCAGTGCTCCCAGTCACACCCACGTCCCCACACCAGGTCGGTGATGGGTTGAAGGGGAGGAGGGCCATGATCTGACTTACAAACCATCCTCTGGCTCCAGCAGGTCCTGCAGCTCCAGTGACCCCAACCTGGCCCTGGGACACAGGGAGATGTTCTCAGCAGGGTCCCAGCCCGGCAGGGGCTGGAATTTGGCTGGAGGCAGCATTATCCTGGAATCCTGGGCAGCCCCACAAGCCCAAACCATCCTTTTGTGCCAACATGACTCCATTTTGGGGTCATGCCCATGAGACAAGACTCCCTAATTACAGAGATTTGCCAGTTCCTAGGATTTTCTGTGGCTCCTGGAGCCCAAGGTTTCCCATTGGAGATGAACCCCCTCCAGGGCACCCAGCACCCCTCCTGTGGGGACACTGGGTGAGGCAGCCCAGCCCAGCCCCCCTCTGTACTTGCCATCAAACCTTCTCGGCCCTTCTCTCCTTTCTGGCCTTTTCCTCCGATTTCCCCCGTGGCAGCTCCTGGACCAGCCACTCCAGGGAGGCCCCTGGGACCAGCATCACCCTGCTCAGGGATGGACACAGAAGGGTCACCACAAAGGTGGAAAAGGAACAGCAATTAAATGAGTCATGTCTGCATGGAGAGGATGTGTGTTATCCCCTCGGTGGGTGCCACAGGCAGCAGGTCACCCTGGGGTGCTCAGGAAAGGCATTTCCAGGGATCCTCAGCCACGGGGACACCCCTGTCCTGCCCTGTCCCCACTCTGGCACATGGATCAGCAGAGGGTGAGCAGGTTGTGGGTGTTCCCAGGTGCTGGAAGGAGGGACAGAGTTGGGGACACTGCTCACCTTCCGTCCCCGTGGTCCTGGCTCTCCTGGGTCTCCAACGTCACCGGTGTCACCCTGCCCACAGGGAAACACCCACATCAGATGCAGTGGCTGATGTGGTCATGCCCACGAAATACGAAGCCCTAATTAAGGAGATTTGACAATTCCTAGGGTTTTCTGCAGCTCCCAGAGCCCAAGGTTTTCCTCAGCACCCGACCTGTGGGGACACTGGGTGCCTGGTGGGTGAGGCAGCAAACCTTCTTGGCCCTTCTCTCCTTTATGGCCCCATCCCAGGGCAGGCTAAAATCTGAGCTCTGACTTCCATGGGCTTCTCCACCCTCCTTGGCCAGGATTTTGGTGCTGGGTAAGGCGTGGCCTCACACCTTTGCCTGGAGGTCACTCCAGCTGTGACTCACAGGAGCCCAAAAAGTGAGGGCGAAATGCTGAGCACAACCAGCAGCACTTTGCCAGCACTGGGACCCCAAAGCATCATCCCCCTCCTTCCATGGGAGCTTCCCAGCCTGCCTGTGGCAAAGCCATCCCATGGGGAGTTGTCCAGAGCCAGTGCACTGGGTGGCACCTTTCCTGTCCCCATCAGCCTGGAGAAGAGGACACTGAGGGGACACCTCATCACAGTCCACAATTTCCTCTTGAGGAGAAGAGGGGCAGGCACTGATCTCTGCTCTGGTGAGCAGGGACAGCACCCAGGGAAGGGCTGCAGCTGTGTCAGGGCAGGGTC